GAACCTGTCTACTGTATGACCTGTACTATAAACAGGACCCTGTCTACAGTATAACCTGTAGTATAAACAGGAACCTGTCTACATTATAACCTGTACAATAAACAGGTACCTGTCTACTTTATAACATGTACTATAAACAGGAGCCTGTCTACATTATAACCTGTACTATAAACAGGACCCTGCCTACTTTATAACCTGTACTATAAACAGGAGCCTGCCTACCGTATAACCTGTACTATAAACAGGAGCCTGCCTACTGTATAACCTGTACTATAAACAGGACCCTGTCTACTGTATAACCTGTACTATAAACAGGAACCTGTCTACTGTATAACCTGTACTATAAACAGGACCCTGTCTACAGTATAACCTGTACTATAAACAGGAACCTGTCTACATTATAACCTGTACTATAAACAGTATCCTGCCTACTTTATAACCTGTACTATAAACAGGATCCTGCCTACTTTATAACCTGTACTATAAACAGGACCCTGTCTACAGTATAACCTGTACTATAAACAGGTGTCTACCTGTACTATAAACAGGTACCTGTCTACAGTATAACCTGTACTATAAACAGGTACCTGTCTACTGTATAACCTGTACTATAAACAGGTACCTGTCTACAGTATAACCTGTACTATAAACAGGAATCTGTCTACAGTATAACCTGTACTATAAACAGTATCCTGCCTACTGTATAACCTGTACTATAAACAGGAACCTGTCTACATTATAACCTGTACTATAAACAGTATCCTGCCTACTTTATAACCTGTACTATAAACAGGATCCTGCCTACTTTATAACCTGTACTATAAACAGGAACCTGTCTACATTATAACCTGTACTATAAACAGTATCCTGCCTACTTTATAACCTGTACTATAAACAGGAACCTGTTTACTGTATAACCTGTACTATAAACAGGACCCTGTCTACTGTATAACCTGTACTATAAACAGGAACCTGTCTACATTATAACCTGTACTATAAACAGGACCCTGTCTACATTATAACCTGTACTATAAACAGGATCCTGCCTACTTTATAACCTGTACTATAAACAGGATCCTGCCTCATCAAGATTATTTATAAATAAAAATATTTGTATCCAGTTACAGATTAGTTAACTTTGATGCAGTGCAACAGAAAGTTTTCATGAGATTTAAGTTTTTACTGTACTTGATCTATAGGATTAATGTAAACAATGTCATTTTTGAGAATTTTTATCTTTTGCTACTAAAATAATTTTAGGATGGAATTAAAAAAGGAAATGGACAAAATTGCTGAAAGAGCAGTGATTCAATATGACAAAAAAGGCCTAGCAACTATGGATAGCCAAACTAATATGGTAGGAACACTAGAGAATGATGCGCCTTCGTATACTAATGTGGCAAGTAGGGTGGAAAATTTAAGCGATGCAGGCAGTGTTGGGGATGGCACCTGTCTAGGAAGGCCTGTCACTGTTGCGATACCAGAAATGGTCATTAAAGTCCACAAAAAACTCAGTAAAGGTGTGTTGTTCCGCCAGGACAATGGCCCTGTTCGAAATTCTGTCATTGCCATGGCAGCCATTAACGATTGTGGTTTTGAATTGATTGAGCATCTGTGTTATTCACCTGATCTCGCTTCATCAGACTATCAAACATTTCCAAAATTGAAGAAGGCCATTTCCGGTACCCACTTTCGGTCAAATGATAATGTCATTCATGCAGTGAAGGACTTTCTTAACGGTCAATAAAAGGACTTCTTTAATAAACGTGGATTGAGGCCCTTAAACATCGCTGGCTAAAGTGTATATATACTGACAGGAATTATGATGAAAAATAATGCTATTTGTCCGCAAAATGTCAAACTCTTAAATATGAGGCTCACAACTTATCAATCAGCTCATGTATAAAAATAGTAAAGGAAACTTGAGGTTTTTTCATGACTTCTTGCAGAAACTTTGTCCTTTTCTGTATCAAAACTTGAAAAGCACTGCAAAAATTTATACCATTGGAGAAAAAAAATTAGATTTTTGAAAAAAAAATTTACAGATGAAAATCTGTCTTACATAATGTTTATCATGAGCTGAGAACTACAGAAAAAAGCATCAAAATCCAGGATACTGTAAACCTATTATTTTTTACGATATTACTCTCCTAGACAATATTATTGCAGTGACATAGCCTTGGATTATTGTGTTGTTAAGTTTAAATATGTTCTTGACAATAAAGTTTTGTGACTATTTTGATATGCAAACATTATGAAAATAAAATGGAACAGAAGTTGGTCTACAATAACAAATATGTTGATATCCATCGAGGCAATGACTTAACACTACTGACTATGATTGGGTGTATCGAAACATTTAAACAGTTTCTTCTGTACGTGATCTAGAGTCACAATAGAAGGCTATGATTACCAATTTTGTAGCCCATCTGGTCCAAAGAACTGCATGGTGCTGTTGTGTAGTGTATGCCATCGGTTGATTTATATGAAAATTACCAAATTTATTGAATTTTGAGGCTTCATATATATTGAACTTCCCCATTTAGATTTTGTCTATTCTTTCAGTCACTTTGGATTTCCCTCAGTCGCCTCCATGGCTTCAAACTTTAGGCCCTTAGCATCACTGACAAGTCTTAGAAGAATGAATCAGCTGTATGTATGATTCAGATTAATTTATTGTTTGGTTCTACTATATCTAACTCTGTATTTGTATCAAAAGGTGATATTCACTTGTGTGTCTTTTGTACGCAATCTTCTCTTGACCATATTTGGTCTTCACCACTTAAAGTGAAGAAGATTCAATCTCTTGCATACATAGACTAATTCTTTTTATTTTTATTCCCCTGTCTTAAAAAAAGGGGGGGGGAGGGGGGTTGGGGCGGGGGGATTGTCAGCATATAGCATAGTTCACATCTGTCCCATCCCATGGCATCACCACCCGAGTAAATAGGACATCTGCTTCCTTTCCTTCCACCTCCTATTACAGAGGGGTGAGGCTCCACATGCCATCATCAGTAGTAGAGATAAATTTTCCATAATCCAAAACTCCATTCAGCGCATTGGAACTTCAGGTAAATCTTTAAAATCACCCTCCTTCCTAAAAGAGGATTTCAACTAAACTGGATGTGAAGTGAATCACTAATTCAGTGAAGAGAAAAAAAAATCAAAACCAAAACAAAAAAAACAAGAAAATAATGATAACACATTTGCAATCCAAAACTCAAAATTGTTGAACTGAGGGCAAAATATGAACAAAGGCAATGTTTAAAAAGCTATTCCCTAAAAGTATAGAGAAGAATTAGACCAGGTGTTCTGGAAGGGTAAACATCTTCTTCTTCATTGACAATACCCATCATGTAAGTGTAGATAAATCCAAGTACGTTTTCTTAAATGACGTCATATCATGAGAACAAAGTTAACATAAGAAAGGTTATCACGCATCGAAATAATGTCACTTTACATCGTCAAAGGAAATGGAATAGTTTCTGAGGGTATAATGATGGTGACGACCATAAGGCTATTTCTATATATTTCATCAACCTGAATCTCTTGAACCCCTGTGTGTTAAGAAGTTTTATGATGAAAATATTCAGCTGTTTTACATGTAACTCATACTCTTCATATATTAGTGGTTTCAGTGAAGAGTTTTGAGAAGGAAATTGACATAAAAAGTTTTATGTTGGTAATTTGAAAGAGTATATATAATATAAATACAATGTTTATGATGGATGACAGATGACAGATTCAGCTTGTAAAATGTCACGTGCACGCATCCAGATAGAAAAAAAAATGTTATTTAAACCATTTACCATGAACTCTCATGGGTATATATTTCATCGGCAAATTTGTGTATTTTTTCCTATTTTTCCTGTCAAACATCCTCCTTGATATGATGAAATAGCATACCAATTCATCCTCAGACGCCAATGTAGCGTGGTCATCTGTCATGTGAATAAAAATCGACCATGATTAATAGTGCCACGCCTTCTCTCGCTATTTTTTGGCTACGGAAGTGTCAACATGTTATATTGAAAAAAAATATTGATTTTAAATTATCACTTTTGAAGACTGATTTTTAATTTTATTTAAATATCAACTTTATTCAAATAGTTTGTATTATAAAAAAGAAGTTTTCCAAGAAAATGGCTTATTTGAGAAAAAAATTACTAAAGAATAAAAAAGTCTTTAAAATTTTGAAAGGAATTTATGATCAGAAAGTTACTTCTGATTTGTTGAAATTAAACATGTCCAGCAGCACAAGAGGGAACTCGTTAAAATTAGTGAAACAACATTGCACCAGAGACATTAGGAAATACAACTTTGTACACAGAATAGTAGATACATGGAACAGTCTTCTGGAACAAGTAGTCTCAGCCAGGACAACAAACCTTTCAAGAACAGAATTGACAAGCTGTGGGAAAATCACCCTCTACGGACTGACTTCACAGCAAGCTATGGACCAGATACCGGAAGGACGGCAGTTAATTACGTGGCGTTTTCGAACAATTCTAAGCTGCCTATAGAGGACCAGTAGGTCCTGCAGGCGGAAACAACATAAGGTAAATAATCTAACCGTTTAGAAAAGGTGCACGCATAAACACAGATATCCACCACTTTCGCACCATAAATGTGTTTTGATTTTCTTCAAAATGCCATTCCCGTTCAAATGATGATTTAATCCAATTTATCTGTACCTCTGGGTCACTCGAAGCTAATTGAAACCTCTCTATGATTTAGTGGTGTCATCAGACACGGAAGTGCAATCACATGTCCGATACACATGCAGATCATGTCAGGTGAGCGAATTTGTGTTTTTGGTGGCAGTTCATCAACAAAGCGTAGCTAGCGAAAACTGATTCTTATGGGTCCGAAACTAATTCGCCAAGGATACACTTTGTAAAGTAAATTAAACCGAAAGTACAAACAAGTCAGATGAACGCTTATTGTAAAGTAAAGATCTCGCAATTCAAACACAAAAACGACACTGATCAAATTGGAAATACCACGTTAGTACAGAACGGAAGGTTGGTGCTTAGTGTATATATTCACAAGAATCTGACTTTCTTGATGTGAAATATAGCTATTACACTTCAACAAGAGCGCCCAATTCTTGTGATACATTCAATAGTCATTCCTGATTTCCACTAAAAATCGCGGTGCTCTTCATCTTTATGTTATGTGTCGAAAGTCTACAGCAAAGGCAAAATGATATGAAAATGCAACAGAAAAGCTCGGGTATACCCTATCTTGGACATTGATGGTACAGTAATAACGCGGCAAGTACATCGTATGTACATGTAAGGCTATCAATCACTTGACAATGTTTCTGTGGAGAGGCCTTCTGTAGTTTATGTTTACGACATTGAATGTTATTGGGGGGGGGGGGGGGGTACTTGTGTAATATGTAGACATATATGCATTGCAACAGTAAATGTTTTAGGGGCGGGGTTAGTGAGCGGGCTTGTGTACTATAGACATATATCATATATACATATGTATATGAAACAGCGAATGTTGTTGCTAAGGGAGATACCTTGTGTAATGGAAATATGTAACATCGCATGTTCCTTCTGGAGGTGAAGGGAAGGGGAGGAGAGGGGACTAGTACAATGTATATATGTGACAGAGAATGTTGTTGTGGAGGGGGGGCATAATATATACATTTATGTAACAGTAAATGCTTCATTGGATGGAGATTTGTAGTTATCATATATATAAATATGTGTGTGTAGAAATTGAAATACAGGTTGCCTTACAATAACTAGTCTTAACTTACAGGAATTTCCCTTTAGCGTTAGAGTGTCCAGACCAAATGGTTGCTAATTTGAACCCCAGTTATGGCAAGGCGTTTTTCATCACTCCTTCCTATTACACTTGTATGTAACAGTGACTGTATCTGGGTGAGGGGGCTTTTGAAGTTTATATATATGTAATAGTGAATATTTCTGAAGGAGTTAGCTTGTTTAGGTATATATCAATATATGTAACAGTGAATGTTCCAATGTGATAGGGTGAGGTGTTTGTGTAGTACAATATATATGAGATAGTGAATGTTTCTGGGGAAGGGGCTTTTATAGTATATGTATAAGCAAATGTATGTAACGGTGAATGTTTCTGAGGGAGGGAGCTTGTGCAGTATACAATGTATGTAACAGTGAATGTTTCTGGGGGGGGGGGAGGGGGTGGGGAGAGAGAGAGAGCTTGTGCAGTATACAATGTATGTAATGGTGAATGTTTCTGGGGGAGGGGGATTGTGCAGTATACAATGTATGTAACATTGAATGTTTCTGGGAGAGGGGGCTTGTGTAGTATATAATGTATGTAACGGTGAATGTTTCTGGGGGGGGGGGGGGGCTTGGGCAGTATACAATGTATGTAACATTGAATGTTTCTGGGGGAGACAGCTTGTGTAGTATATAATGTATGTAACAGTGAATGTTTCTGGGGGAGGGAGCTTGTGCAGTATACAATGTATGTAACGGTGAATGTTTCTGGGGGAGGGAGCTTATGTAGTATATAATGTATGTAACGGTGAATGTTTCTGGGGGAGGGGGCTTGTGCAGTATACAATGTATGTAACGGTGAATGTTTCTGGGGGAGGGAGCTTGTGTAGTATATAATGTATGTAACGGTGAATGTTTCTGGGGGAGGGAGCTTGTGTAGTATATAATTTAGTAAGAGTGAATGTTTCTGGGGGAGACGGCTTGGGCAGTATACAATGTATGTAACAGTGAATGTTTCTGGGGGAGGGGGCTTGTGCAGTATACAATGTATGTAACGGTGAATGTTTTCTGGGGGAGGGAGCTTGTGCAGTATACAATGTATGTAACGGTGAATGTTTCTGGGGGAGGGGGCTTGTGCAGTATACAATGTATGTAACATTGAATGTTTCTGGGAGAGGGGGCTTGTGTAGTATATAATGTATGTAACGGTGAATGTTTCTGGGGGGGGGGTGGCTTGGGCAGTATACAATGTATGTAACATTGAATGTTTCTGGGGGAGACGGCTTGTGTAGTATATAATGTATGTAACAGTGAATGTTTCTGGGGGAGGGAGCTTGTGCAGTATACAATGTATGTAACGGTGAATGTTTCTGGGGGAGGGAGCTTATGTAGTATATAATGTATGTAACGGTGAATGTTTCTGGGGGAGGGGGCTTGTGCAGTATACAATGTATGTAACGGTGAATGTTTCTGGGGGAGGGAGCTTGTGTAGTATATAATTTAGTAAGAGTGAATGTTTCTGGGGGAGACGGCTTGGGCAGTATACAATGTATGTAACAGTGAATGTTTCTGGGGGAGGAGGCTTGTGCATTATACAATGTATGTAACGGTGAATGTTTCTGGGGGAGGGAGCTTGTGTAGTATATAATGTATGTAACGGTGAATGTTTCTGGGGGAGGGAGCTTGTGTAGTATATAATGTGTGTAACGGTGAATGTTTCTGGGGGAGGGAGCTTGTGCAGTATACAATGTATGTAACAGTGAATGTTTCTGGGGGGGGGAAAGGAGCTTGTGCAGTATACAATGTATTTAACAGTGAATGTTTCTGGCGGGGGGGGGGAGGGGGCTTGTGCAGTATACAAAGTATGTAACAGTGAATGTTTCTGGGGGAGGGAGCTTGTGCAGTATACAATGTATGTAACAGTGAATGTTTCTGGGGGGAGGGGACTTATGTAGTATATAAATATGTAACAGTGAATATTAACAATACCTTTATAGGGGTGAATTTATGAGACCACATTCTTCAGTGTATATATCCAAGTCTGTGATTGAACAATTTTCTAGATAAGCAATGATATGAAATAGCAATGGTGTATGATTTTCATTGAAGAGCAATTTTTAAGTGGTTGCTTATTACCATACATATTGGATTATTGTCAGATAAATACAAAGATGATAATTATTATTGCAAGGCCACTTTTTAATGTAAAGTTTTTCTTGCATTGATTACAGGTGAAATTCTACATTACTGAAAGGGAGTTAACTGATTGAAAAAACTATATAAAGGGAGGTGACCAGGTGACCTGACTATTTCAACAGAAAATACATGAGTAACTAAATATGTCAAAGGAAATAGGTACAGCTGTTGGTATTGGAGTTCTGGGACTTGGTCTGGGATATATTAGCTATAGATTATTGACCAATGGTGTATCTATTACAAAAGAAAATTTTTTTGATCGAAAACAGAAAATAAAACCTACTGTCTTACCAAGGAAAGACAGACGTGTTGACAAGGTTTGTAAAACCACATATGAAAAAATTACACAAGTTGAAACTCAGTGTTTCAAAGGAATAAACACTGCCTTACGTCTGGGTGGTAGAGATGTAAAGAAACTTACAGCTTCACTTGTAGCTAAATGGATGATCAGCGAAGAAGAGATGACGGACCTCGTAACGTTGTCTGATGTTCTGTTGAAGATGAGGTCCCATGGTATTTTGGGTCCAGTGAACTACCAAGAAGTGGTGACGTCTATACTTCAGGATGCAGATTTAGAACTTAATAAAAAGGCAGAAGAACTGCTTATCCTTCTCAAGGATACTGTGATGGACCACATTGAGGAAGATATCCGACAACAACGCACAGTTGCACAGAATTCAGAAAGCCGAAAGATAGATATATATGTTTTATACTCTGAGAGTGATTTTGAAAAGGCTAAATTATGTCAAGAAAATATTTGCAGATATGCGAGTACCAGTGATATAAAAGTTGTCTTGATGGATGATATGGGACATGGGCAGACAATCTTCGAAGCATTTGAGCAGGGAATGGAGTCCTCAATATACGTATTTGTTTTAGTAACAGAATCCTTTGCAGCAGATGGACTGAAGAGGTTTCTGGCAGGAATTGGTTTGTCTGCCAATCTGCAAAGATCAAATAAACTTTGGAGACTTGTACCAGTGTGGGTGGATCCTGGCATAAATGAGCGTGGGAAATGTCCATTAGAGTTTAGTGTGCTTCAAGGTTTGCACTATAATAGGTTTTTAGAGGATGAATTAGACACAAACTGTTTCAAAAACATTGACAGATTAATTAAAAAGGGTCGGAAAAAAATAATGGAGGAGAGCCTTGCCAGAGCCACAAAGGAGCATGAATGAGATCTCCTTTTCTTAATAGATTGCATTGCAATGATGTACATGTACTGTATTCAGAGTTATATATACTGTATACAGGGTTATATATACTGTATACAGGGTTATATATACTGTATACAGAGTTATATATACTGTATACAGAGTTATATATACTGTTTACAGGGTTATATATACTGTATACAGGGTTAAATATACTGTATACAGAGTTATATATACTGTGTACAGGGTTATATGTACTTTATACAGAGTTATATATTCTGTATACAGATATATATACTGTATACAGATTTATATATACTGTATACCGGGTTATATATACTGTGTACAGGGTTATATATACTGTATACAGGGTTATATATACTGTATACAGACTATATATACTGTATACAGAGTTATATATACTGTATACAGGGTTATATATACTGTATACAGAGTTATATATACTGTGTACAGGGTTATATATACTGTGTACAGGGTTATATATACTGTATACAGGGTTATATATACTGTATACAGGGTTATATATACTGAGATATATATACTGTATACAGGATTATATATTCTGTATACAGACTATATATACTGTATACAGGGTTATATATACTGTAAACAGATTTATATATACTGTGTACACAGTTATATATACTGTATACAGATTTGTATATATTCTATACAGGGTTATATATACTGTATACAGAGTTATATATACTGTGTACAGGGTTATAAATACTGTATACAGGGTTATATATACTGTATACAGAGTTATATATACTGTGTACAGGGTATATACTGTATACAGGGTTATATATAATGTTGGATAATTACAAAGTATGTAAGGTCACGATATTCACTCTATACAGGGTTATATATACTGTATACAGAGTTATATATACTGTTTACAGGGTTATATATACTGTATACAGGGTTAAATATACTGTATACAGAGTTATATATACTGTGTACAGGGTTATCTATACTGTATACAGAGTTATATGTACTGTATACAGAGTTATATATACTCTATACAGGGTTATATATACTGTATACAGGGTTATATATACTGTATACAGGGTTATATATACTGTATACATAGTTATATATAATGTATACAGGGTTATATATACAGGGATATATACTGTATACAGAGTTATATATACTGTATACAGGGTTATATATACTGTATACAGGGTTGTATATACTGTATACAGAGTTATATATACAGGGTTATATATACTGTATACAGGGTTATATATACAGGGATATATACTGTATACTGAGTTATATATACTGTATACAGAGTTATATATACTGTATACAGGGTTATATATACTGTATACAGGGTTATATATACAGGGATATATACTGTATACTGAGTTATATATACTGTATACAGAGTTATATATACTGTACAGAGTTATATATACTGTATACAGAGTTATATATACTGTATACAGGGTTATATATACTGTATACAGAGTTATATATACTGTATACAGGGTTATATATACTGTATACAGGGTTATATATACTGTATACAGAGTTATATATACTGTATACAGTATATATACTGTTATATATATATATACTGTATACTGAGTTATATATACTGTATACAGAGTTATATATACTGTATACAGGGTTATATATACTGTATACAGAGTTATATATACTGTATAGAGTTATATATACTGTATACAGGGTTATATATACTGTATACAGAGTTATATGTACTGTATACTGAGTTATATATACTGTTATATATATACTGTATACAGGGTTATATATACTGTATACAGAGTTATATATACTGTATACAGAGTTATATATACTGTATAGAGTTATATATACTTATATATATATACTGTATACAGGGTTATATATACTGTTATATATATATACTGTATACAGAGTTATATATACTGTATAGAGTTATATATACAGGGTTATATATACTGTATAGAGTTATATATACTGTATACAGTTATATATACTGTATATATATATACTGTATACAGGGTTATATATACTGTATACAGGGTTATATATACTGTATACAGGGTTATATATACTGTATACAGAGTTATATATACAGAGTTATATATACTGTATAGAGTTATATATACTGTATACAGGGTTATATATACTGTATACAGGGTTATATATACTGTATAGAGTTATATATACTGTATACTGAGTTATATATACTGTATACAGGGTTATATATACTGTATAGAGTTATATATACTGTATAGAGTTATATATACAGGGTTATATATACTGTATACAGAGTTATATATACTGTATATTATATATATACTGTATACAGAGTTATATATACTGTATACTGAGTTATATATACTGTATACAGAGTTATATATACTGTATACAGGGTTATATATACTGTATACAGAGTTATATGTACTGTATACTGAGTTATATATACTGTGTACAGGGTTATATATACTGTATACAGGGTTATATATACTGTGTAGAGTTATATATACTGTATACAGGGTTATATATACTGTATACTGAGTTATATATACTGTGTACAGGGTTATATATACTGTATACAGGGTTATATATACTGTATAGAGTTATATATACTGTATACTGAGTTATATATACTGTGTACAGGGTTATATATACTGTATACAGAGTTATATATACTGTATAGAGTTATATATACTGTATAGAGTTATATATACTGTATACTGAGTTATATATACTGTGTACAGAGTTATATATACTGTATACAGAGTTATATATACTGTATAGAGTTATATATACTGTATACAGAGTTATATATACTGTATAGAGTTATATATACTGTATAGAGTTATATATACTGTATACAGAGTTATATATACTGTGTACAGAGTTATATATACTGTATAGAGTTATATATACTGTATAGAGTTATATATACTGTATACTGAGTTATATATACTGTATACTGAGTTATATATACTGTATACAGAGTTATATATACTGTATAGAGTTATATATACTGTATAGAGTTATATATACTGTATAGAGTTATATATACTGTATACTGAGTTATATATACTGTATACTGAGTTATATATACTGTATACAGAGTTATATATACTGTATAGAGTTATATATACTGTATAGAGTTATATATACTGTATACTGAGTTATATATACTGTGTACAGAGTTATATATACTGTATACAGAGTTATATATACTGTATATATACTGTATAGAGTTATATATACTGTATACAGAGTTATATATACTGTATAGAGTTATATATACTGTATACTGAGTTATATATACTGTGTACAGAGTTATATATACTGTATACAGAGTTATATATACTGTATAGAGTTATATATACTGTGTACAGAGTTATATATACTGTATACAGGGTTATATATACTGTATACAGGGTTATATATACTGTATATAGAGTTATATATACTGTGTACAGGGTTATATATACTGTGTACAGGGTTATATATACTGTATACTGAGTTATATATACTGTATACAGGGTTATATATACTGTGTACAGGGTTATATATACTGTATACAGAGTTATATATACTGTATACAGAGTTATATATACTGTATAGAGTTATATATACTGTCTACAGGGTTATATATACTGTATACAGGGTTGTATATACTGTATACAGAGTTATATATACTGTATAGAGTTATATATACTGTCTACAGGGTTATATATATACTGTATACAGAGTTATATATACTGTATACAGAGTTATATATACTGTATAGAGTTATATATACTGTATACAGAGTTATATATACTGTATACAGAGTTATATATACTGTATAGAGTTATATATACTGTATACAGAGTTATATATACTGTATACAGAGTTATATATACTGTGTACAGAGTTATATATACTGTATACAGAGTTATATATACTGTGTACAGAGTTATATATACTGTATACAGAGTTATATATACTGTATACAGAGTTATATATACTGTATAGAGTTATATATACTGTGTACAGAGTTATATATACTGTATACAGAGTTATATATACTGTATAGAGTTATATATACTGTATACAGAGTTATATATACTGTGTACAGGGTTATATGTTCAGTATACAGTTATATATAAAGAGTCATATATACTGTTTACAGATATATGTATACTGTATACAGAGTTATACATACAATGTATTCAGAGTTGATGTTAATTGTATATAGGGTTGTATATGTACTAGTGTACATTTCATACCTTAAGAACTACTGATGCTGTTAAAGATGGACTACTTTAGTGGAAAATTAGTATAATTGTTTTTAGTTCACCTTCCTGAAGGCAAGTGAGCTGAGGTCCTATGTATCCATCCATTGTCCAGCCTCAGCTTTTCCTTTTAAACAACTTCTCATAAATTTGTTGGTCCCAGGCACTGATATTGGATCTGTAGCATGCTGGGATACTTAATATGTTTAAACGAATTATCTTGATCATTTGACCTACTTTTAAACTTAAAGACTTCTCAACTTCTTGATGAATCTTAAGGTCATAATATTAGTCCAGTATCATACTGGGATGAAGAGCTACCAAGTTTACCAAGTATATATGGGTGACATTTACCTGCTTTTGAGATCACAGTGGTCAAATGTGTTAGATTTTTTTTAACAGGTTTTTCTCATGGTCTAGAGGCCCATGGTCATTATATTAGGCCAATTTGAGGCTCTGATGAAGATTTACCGTCTTTAGAATTACCTGGACCCATTTTCATGGTGGGCCAACAGGGGCTTTAGAGTTGAGGCCCCCATAAGGGAAATAGAACAAGTTCTCTAAAATCCTTCTCCGCCCTTCGAAATGATTAGATTTTGCCCCAATATTGCCAGAAGCAATCCTGGGTGCATCCTTGATACTCTAGGGTCTGTGCTCACTATTGCTCTCTGCACTCTTGGAACCTTGGCAAAATTGAAGATTCTATGTTGGACACCTTGTGGATAAGACAAAAAGAGAAGTTTGATC